TTTTTTTTTTTTTTTTTTTTTTTTTTTTTTTTTTTTTTTTTTTTTTTTTTTTTTGACAAAAATAAGAATCCATCAAAGCCAAAATAATTTTTAATTTTAGATTTTCTCTCTAATATATTTTTAATTTTTTAAAAACTTTAGTAATATTCTTAAATTTTTAAAATATTTTAAAATAATATTCTCCCAAACAAAAGCTATGGCTCGTTCTAGAAATATCTTTAAATTTTTGAAATCTTCATTTCATTTTCGACACATTAGACGTATTTTCAATAGTAGATCGGTGATTAAATTTTAAAATATATATACATATACATATATATATACTAGCACACCGCCCCGTGTCTACCCTCCTTCGGGGAACAGCAAGAAGGCTGGCACATCGTTCGGTGTCTGACTCTGATACCATTTGTAACAACCCAGATCCACCGCTAGCAGATATTGTCCTTTTTTTCCCTTTCGAGCTTCCCCTCAAGGCTTTTAAAACGCGTCTGCTAAGGGAAGGTTTTCACTCCCTTATAAAGGGTGTTTTGTTCTCCTCCCCAACCAATGTAGGACATCACAATCCACACCCCCTTCAAGGCCCAACGTCCTTGCTGTTGAGGCCCAATGTCCTTACTGGTACACCGCCCCATGTCTACCCTCCTTCGGAGAACAGCGATAAGGCTATATATATATATATACCATTTGTAACAACCTAGATCCACCGCTAGCAGATATTATTCTCTTTTTCCCTTTCGAGCTTCCCCTCAAGGCTTTTAAAACGTGTCTGCTAGGGGAAGGTTTCCACTCCCTTATAAAATGGTGTTTTGTTCTCCTCCCCAACCAATGTAGGACATCACAATCCACACCCCCCCTTGGGGCCCAACGTCCTTGTTGTTGAGGCCCAGTGTTCTTACTGGTACACCGCCCCATGTCTACCCTCCTTCGAGGAACAGCGAGAAGGCTATATATATATATATATATATATATATATATATATATATATTCTTAGTATTTCATTTCATAATTACTAGTGAACTTTCAAATTTAACATTAAAAGTTGAGATATAATTTATGAGGTATCAATATATGGTTTTCGTCAGTATATTGATGGTAACATAATTTTTTAATATTTTTTATAAAGGTAAAGCGTGTTAATTTTATTTATAAAAGTTCATGATATATTTTGTATATTTTGTTAGATGAAAGTCCCACATCGACTAATTTAGTAAATGATCATGTGTTTATAATCAATGAATACTATTCCTATTAGGATGAGGTCTTTTGGGAAGTCCAAAGTAAAGCTACGAGAGCTTATATCAAAATGGACAATATTATAACCGACTTAATAAATATATTATTATTATATTTTATTATTTTAACCAGATTATTTATAAATAGGGTTATAGTCGGTAAATATTTTAAACCACTAGGGAAGGGATGGCTATGAGAGGGTGAGCCATCTCCACAGCCACGCTGAATCTATCATCCATGTTTATCTCGAGTCCATTTTCAACCTTCCAATCGAAGAAACTAATTAACGAACCCAACATCAAAGGCATCATTCTCATAGCCAGTGATAGTCCAGGGCAAATCCTTCTCCCTCCACCGAACGGAATCAGCTCGAAGCTCCGTCCCTTAATGTCAATTTCCGACCCCAAAAACCTCTCCGGTTCAAATGATTCTGGATTCTCCCAGCTCATCGGATCTCTTCCGATCGCCCATGCATTAATCATAACCTGAGCATCTTTAGGGACTGTGAAACCTGCGATCTCCACTTCTTGTTTCGCCTTACGAGGTAGCAATAATGGACCCACTGGATGCAATCGTAAAGCTTCCTTCACCACCGCTTGCAGATATGGCAGCCTCGAAATGTCCGCTTCCTCCATTGGTTTGTTCTTCCTCAAAACTTGCCTGATTTCCACTTGAGCTTTTGCTAATTTTTCTGGATTCCTCAATAGCTCCGCCATTGCCCACTGCAACGACACTGAACTTGTATCCGCGCCGGCTACGAACAATACCTAGAGTTCTTTATTTATTTTGCACAAATTAGAAAAACGACCCATCGCTTTTTAAATGTCATAGTTGATTTAAGAATCGAACGATTATTTAGGGGAGGATTCTTACGATAAGTAAATGTATCATCTGATTATGATCGATTTTAGCGTCACTCCCTTCGTTCTTCAGAAGATAATGCAACATATCGTTGTTTGGAACAGAATCAGGATCCAGTTCTTGCTCCTTCCTCCTCAGTTCGACCATTGAGTCTAGAATTTTAAAAAAACTTCCCATGTGAATCTCCATTCTCTTCCTCATCCCTTGAATGTCGAGCTTCCTCAACATGGGAAAATAATCGCTCAAATTCGACTTTCCGGCCAATTCCATCATTCCCTGCACGCACTTCTTAAACTGTCTCGCTAATTCGGATTTCGGATATGCTAAATCAACAGAGAAAATCGTATTCGAGAGTAGATTCAGCGTAGTCGTGAACAATAATCTCCCTATATCCACCGCCTCGCCTTTCAACGCGCTTTTTCGAACAATCTCTACGAGCTCTTCCACTTTCTTCCGACGAAGATTTTCGTTCGCATCGAGGATTTTTCGGGCGAACAGAGTACTGTTGCATATTTTGCGATATTTCCTCCACAGAGGAGAAACAGAAATCCATGGAAATCCGACTTCGTTATGATCGTAAGCGGTCAACGAATCTGGAATGGCTCTGTCACACAAAGAGTGTTCGTTCGTTTGTAGGACCTCTTTAGCCATGGCGGAAGAAGAAACCACCACCGCCGTAACTCGTCCAAGTTTCAGACTCATAATTGGGCCATATACCTTAGCCATGGCGGCGAGCGACTTGTGAGGCTTGTCGCCGAGATCCAAGAGATTTCCGATGACCGGCAGAGGCTTTGGTCCCGGAGGTAGCTTCTGTGTACTTCTCGTCTTCCATTTAAGCCTCAAAATGAAGAATGCGGCACAAAAACAAAGAAAGTAGGCCAAAAACTCCATTTCCGGCGATGGCGAGGACGCTTCGGCTCTGCTCACGGCGCAACCGAATAGGAGCCTGCGGCTTATTATAAGACGCGAAAAAATAAAGTATTAAATTAAAAATAAAATTAGGATAAATTATGATTGGTCCACGTATGAGCGAGTGACAATTAAATTTCCATTTAAACCACAAATAAAAATAATATATCGAGAGCTGACGTGAAACTACTCTTTCCTCTCCTCCAAATCTCACTTATGAAGATTTTTTAGTTGGGTTGAGAGATTTTTTTTGTACCAACTCGAAAGTTCGGGTCGGTTGGATTGACAATCTAATTCAATTCGAAAATTTTCATAACCCAACTCAATCCTTTATTTTCAAGTTGTTCTAAATTGAGAAGAGACAAGAAGTAGAGAAACAACCTACAGTCGAGCTGAGAAGTCCGATAAGAAACATAGAGCGAAGAAGTCTGACGGAAATGGAACAAGCCGAGTGGAGAGTCAGTCAGCGACAACGTCGATAAAGTCGATTTGGAGAAATGGGAGGTGAGAAGAGAGTTTGATGGAAAAATAAAGAGGTGACCGACGAGCTAGATCGACGTCTAAGACGAGAACGACGTCAACGTAGAAGATAAACAATTACCATAATTAATCCTCTTATTAATGGAAGAAACTAGAGAGGAAGTCTGCAACTTCAATAGTACATGTGCCACGTGACAACATAACTGATGGGCGGGCTGGGTGGACTTCTGCCGCAAGGTTTTGGCCTTTTTTATGGTTTTCGAGTGGGGTCGAATTGTCTCAATAATTTAAAATTTGAACCCGAACCGGATCAAGTTCTAAAAAATGAACCCGAACTTGAATACGAAAAGAAACCCAACCCTTAAAATTCGAGTTGGATCGGGTTAGGTTTTCGGAACTAATGGGTGTCTTGCTTTTACCTGGAAAAGAATGGAACTAATACATCACTATATAATTCACGTACAACATCATACATCACTATATAATTCACGTACACGACTCTCCACATATTGTCCACTTTGAGCCTAAGCTTTGCTTTGGGCTTCCCCAAAAAGCCACGACTCTCCACAATGGTATGATATTATCCACTTTGAGCCTAAGCTTTGCTTTGGGCTTCCCCAAAAGGCCACGACTCTCCACAATGGTATGATATTATCCACTTTGAGCCTAAGCTTTGCTTTGGGCTTCCCCAAAAGGCCACGACTCTCCACAATGATATGATATTGTCCACTTTGAGCCTAAGCTTTGCTTTAGGCCTCCCCAAAAGGCTACGACTCTCCGCTATGATATTGTCCACTAAGAGGTTTTGGGCTTCCCCAAAAGGCCTCATATCAATGGAGTTAGTATTCCTCACTTATAAACCTATGATCATTCCCTAAATTAGTCGATGTGGGACTTCCATCATCCAACAATAGCTACATCATACATCACTATATAATTCACATACAACATTATTCGATCATACATCACTATATAATTCACCTACAACATTATTCGATATAGCTCATACATCATACATCACATAAATTTTCTACCATATCCTATAGTAAGGCCACTTGGCCTTAGCCGCCGTTCTCCCTAATTTATAACGTTAGATCCCGTTCCTCGAGAGTTGCTTCAAATGTTGTTGGAATTTGTTTCCTATCACACCATTTGTCACCTTTTCGTTAGCATTTAACAAATTAATAATGATCATACTAATAAATGTAAAATACAGCACTAAAATGGCCTCAATTACCATCACCGAGGCCACAAATAGATCAGGGAGGGTAGGAACCATAAAAATTGGGCTAAAATAGGGGTACCCAAGCAAAATAAGCCGAGGAGTCGCCGGGAGCCGAGTCGAGACATCTAAGTCGACCAAGCCGAAGGGCTGCATAAGACGCGGGTTGACACGTGGCATTTCAGGAGTGGGCCACGTCGTGTGCATGCGTCTCGGGTCGAGGCGCAGTTTGGGTCAGCTTGGCGGGTTGCGTCGGGTTATTGGGTTGCTGCATGTGGTCTCGGTTTGTGGGCTGGGTCGCGGGTTGTTTGGTTGCAGGTTGAGCTATTGGGCCGAGATGGGTTTAGGCCTCGGGTTGCAGGCTGGTCTGGTGACACAGGCTGCAGGCGAGTCGAGGCGCTACGGCGTGGGCCGCTACAGACAGACTGGGCCTCGGGTTACCGATCTGGGTCCGACCCGGATCTTTTCTTCCTCGCCTGACTCACAGCGCGATTTTTCTCTTTCCTCACCGTGACGGTTTTGGACTTTGTTTCTCTTCCTATCTCTTGTGTCACCTTCTCCTCCTCTCTCCCACCAAGTTTTCAAAAAAACTTCATTTCAACGAAGATAGTATTATTTGATTATAAACTCAGGATCATTCTCTAAATTAGTAGATGTGGGACTTTCATCGAAGACGTACAATAATTAAGTCTGAAATTATTCTAAACAATTAAGGACGGGATGGCTCGGAGTGGATGAGCCATCTCTACGACGACGCCAAATTTATCGTCCATGTTTATTTCAAATCCATCCTCAACCTTCCAATCAAAGAAATTAATTAACGAACCCAACATCAAAGGCATCATTCTCATAGCCAGTGGCAGTCCAGGGCAAATCCTTCTCCCTCCGCCGAACGGAATCAGCTCAAAGCTCCGTCCTCTAATGTCAATTTCTGACCCCAAAAACCTCTCCGGTTCAAATGATTATGGATTCTCCCAGCTCATCGGATCTCTTCCGATCGCCCAAGTATTCACCAAAACCTGAGCATCTCTAGGGATTGTGAAACCTGCGATCTCCACTTCTTGTTTCGCCTTACGAGGTAGCAACAATGGAGCCGCTGGATGCAATCGTAAAGCTTCCTTCACTACTGCTTGTAGATATGGCAGCCTCGGAATGTCCACCTCCTCCACTGATTTGTTCTTTCCCAAAACTTGCCTGATTTCCACTTGAGCTTTCGCTAATTTTTCTGGATTCCTCAATAGCTCCGCCATTGCCCACTGCAACGACACTGAACTTGTATCCGCGCCAGCTGCGAATAATACCTAGGTTTTTTTTTTTTTTTTGCACAAATTAGAAAAACGACGCATCGCCTTTTCAATTTTATAGTTAATTTAAGAATCGAACGATTATTTAGGGGAGAATTCTTACGAAAAGTAAATGTATCATCTGATTTTGATCGATTTTGGCGTCACTCTCTTCGTTCTTGAGAAGATAATGCAACATATCATTGTTTGGAACAGAATCAGGATTCAGTTCTTGCTCCTTCATCCTTTGTTTGACCATTGAGTCTAGAATTTTAAGAAAACCTCCCAAGTGAATCTTCATCCTCTTCCTCATCCCTTGAATGTCTAGCTTCCTTAACACGGGAAAGTAATCGCTCAAATTTGGCTTTCCGGCCTCTTCCATAGTTTCCTGCACGCATTTCTTGAACTGTCTTGCTAATTCGGATTTCGGATCTGCTAAATCAACAGAGAAAATCGTATTTGAGAGTAGATTTAGCGTAATCGTGAACATTAATCTCCCTACATCCACTGCCTCGCCTTTCGACGCGCTTTTTCGAACAATCTCCACAAGCTCTTCCACTTTCTTTCGGCGAAGATTCTCGTTCGCGTCCAGAATTTTTCCAGCAAACAGAGTATTGTTGCATATTTTGCGATATTTCCTCCACAGAGGAGAAACAGAAATCCATGGAAATCCGACTTCGTTATGATCGTAAGCGGTCAACGAATCTGGAATGGCTCTGTCACACAAAGAGTGGTCGTTCGTTTGTAGGACCTCTTTAGCCATGGCGGAAGAAGAAACCACCACCGCCGTAACTCGTCCAAGTTTCAGACTCAAAATTGGGCCATATACCTTAGCCATGGCGGCGAGCGACTTGTGAGGCTTGTCGCCGAGATCCAAGAGATTTCCGATGACCGGCAGAGGCTTTGGTCCCGGAGGTAGCTTCGATGTACTTCTCGCCTTCGATTTAAGCCTCAAAATGAAGAACGCAACACAGAAACAAAGAAAGCAGGCCAAAAACTCCATTTCCGGCGACGGCGAGGACGTTTCGGCTCTGCTCACGGCGCAACCAAATAGGAGCCTGCGGCCTATTAGAAGACGCGAAAAAAAGAAGGTATTAAATTAAAAATAAAAATAGGATAAATTATGATTGGTCCACGTTTGAGCGAATGCCAATTAAATTTCGATTTAAAACCACAAATAAAAATAATATATCAAGAGCTGACGTGGCACATTTTGAAAATCATTTTAGATATCTCTCCTCTCCTCCAAGCCACTCTTTCCCTTCCCTGGCTGTCCCACTAAGCAAGATATTGCCTCAATTATGAGTGAAGGAGGCTCGGAGTGATTGAAATTATTAAATTAGAAAGTGAAATGCTCGGTTCGGTTCGGTGATGGGACGTTCATTTTTTTCGTTTGTGATTTCTTTTATCTTTTTTGTTATTTTAAGAAGACAAAGATTTCGATGTCCCAACCCGACAAACCTGTTCTCAACCCGAATTCTCTGTTGGATGATGAAAGTCTCACATCTGCTAGTTTATATAATCAATGAATACTTTTTCCATTGGTTTGAGGTCTTTTGAGGAAGTCCAAATCAAAGCCACGAGAGCTCATGCTCAAAGTGGACAATATCATACCATTGTGGAGAGTTTGTTCGTCTACCATGGTATCAGAGTCATGCCCTAAACTTAGTCGTGCCAATAGATTGGTAAATCCTCATGTCGAACAAAGGATTCCAAAAGAAAAGGAGTCGAGCCTCCTCGAAGGCATAGTAAAAAAATGATGAAGACTCCAAAAGAAAAAAGGAGTCGAGCCTCGATTAAGGGAAAGCGTACTTTGTTCGAGGGGAGATGTTGGACGATGAAAGTCTCACATCGGCTCATTTAGAGAATGATCATGAGTTTATAATCAATGAATACTTTCTCTTTTGGTTTGAGGCTTCTTGAGTAAGCCCAAAGCAAAGTCACGAAAGTTTATGCTCAAAGTGGACAATATCATACCATTGTGGAGAGTTGTGTTCGTCTATCAATATCAATTCTCTTCTAGTTTGATTATCAAAATTATTACTCATCATTAAGCTAAATTAGTGGAGAGGGGTTTGCTTGAAAAAACTAGCCTACCTATTTTGACTTTAATTTTCATTATTATTATTATTATTATTATTTTATTTTCATTTTATTTACTTTATTTATTTATTTATTTATTCATCTTCATTTTTCATATTATCTTGCAATTCACCATATACACATTTGATTTTAGAAATAGAAATTAAATAATATATTAAAATTGTTCATTTTTTTCCAAGCCTTAAAATCTTTTTAGTTAAAATTTGGTAATTACGTAAAAGAATAAGGGTATTTTTGCAAAGTCCATAAATATATATATATATATATATATATTTGTAATTTAGCCCCAAATACTACATACACATAAAAGTTAAAAAGTCAAACCATAATTACAGCGAAAATATTGTGGAAAGTCTAGAATTATTCTAAACGATGAACGATGGGATGGCTCGGAGTGGATGGGCCATCTCTACGACGATGCCAAATTTATCTTCCATGTTTATCTCAAATCCATCTTCAACCTTCCAATCGAAGAAATTAATTAACGAACCCAACATCAAAGGCATCATTCTCATAGCTAATGGCAGTCCAGGGCAAATCCTTCTCCCTCCGCCGAACGGAATCAGCTCATAGCTCCGCCCTTTGACGTCAATTTCCGATCCCATAAACCTCTCCGGTTCGAATGATTCCGGATTCTCCCAGCTCATTGGGTCTCTTCCGATTGCCCATGCACTTACTAGAACCTGAGCGTCTTTAGGGATTGTGAAACTTGCTATCTCCACTTCTTGAATCGCCTTACGAGGTAGCAACAATGAAACCGCTGGATGCAATCGTAAAGCTTCCTTCACTACTGCTTGTAGATATGGCAGCCTTGGAATGTCCGCTTCCTCCACTGGTTTGTTCTTCCCCAAAACTTGCCTGATTTCCATTTGAGCTTTCGCTAATTTTTCTGGATTTCTCAATAGTTCCGCCATTGCCCATTGCAATGTCGCTGCAGTTGTATCCGAGCCCGCTGCGAATAATTCCTAGGGTTTTTGCATAAATTAGAAAATCGACCCATCAAAGTGCTTTTTCAATTTCATTATTGATTCAAGAATCGAATGGTTATGTAGGAGATGATTCTTACAAGAAGTAAATTTATAATTTGATTTTGATCGATTTGAGCGTCGCTCTCTTCGTTCTTGAGAAGATAATGCAACATATCGTTGTTTGGAACAGAATTAGGATCCATTTCCTGCTGTTTCATCCTCTGTTTAATCATTGAGTCGAGAAGTTCCAGGACACTTCCCATGTGAATCTCCATCCTCTTTCTCATCCCTTGAATGTCGAACTTCCTCAACACCGGAAAATAATCACTCAAATTTGGCTTTCCGCCCTCTTCCATAATTCCCTGCACGTATTTCTTGAACCGTCTAGCTAATTCAGATTTTGGATCTGCTAAATCAACAGAGAAAATCGTATTAGAGAGTTGATTCAGCGTAATCGTGAACACTAATCTCCCTACATCCACCGCCTCGCCTTTCGACGCGCTTTTTCGAACAATCTCCACGAGCTCTTCCACTTTCTTCCGACGAAGATTCTCGTTCGCGTCCAGAATTTTTCCGGCGAACAGAGTATTTTTACATATTTTGCGATATTTCCTCCATAGAGGAGAAACAGAAATCCATGCAAATCCGACTTCGTTATGATCGTGAGCCGTCAGAGAATCTGGAACGGTTCTGTCACACAAAGAGTGGTCGTTCGTTTGTAGGACCTCTTTAGCCATGGCGGAAGAAGAAACCACCACCGCCGTAACTCGTCCAAGTTTCAGACTCATAATTGGGCCATATACCTTAGCCATGGCGGCGAGCGACTTGTGAGGCTTGTCGCCGAGATCCAAGAGATTTCCGATGACCGGCAGAGGCTTTGGTCCCGGAGGTAGCTTCGATGTACTTCTCGCCTTCGATTTAAGCCTCAAAATGAAGAAGGCAACACAGAAACAAAGAAAGCAGGCCAAAAACTCCATGGCCGGTGATGGCGAGGAATTTCAGATTCTGTTACGGATTTCACTTCATCGTCTCGGCCAAATATATTAAAAAGATAATAATAAAATAAGATTAGGGTAAATTTTAATTGGTCCAGTTTGAGCGTGTGACAATTAAATTTCGATTTAAAATTCAAATAAAAAAAATAAAAATCAAGAGATGACGTGGCACATTTTAAAAAATATTTTTAAATGTCTTCCTCTTCTCCAAACCACTCTTTCCCTTCATGGCTTTCCCACTAAGCAAGAAATTGCCTCAAGTAAGAAGTGGACCCGTAATTTTCGGGAGTAATTAAAATTATTAAATTATTTTATAACGTGTTTTATGTTTAACTTTACGACTTTTATTTAATAAAATTAATTTTCAATGATAAAATAAATGCTTTTTAAGTGACTTTTGATATAACAAAATTAATTTTACCAATTTTCAAAATTTTTAAATTAAATAAATTAATAAAAATACTATTTGAATTTTAGATTAAATTTTTGTATAATTTTATTAAAATCATTTATTTGAAAATAATATAAATTATTAATATCGATGGGTAAATAAACACAAAAACCTAATATTTAATATATATTATTTATAATATACTTATTAATGAATAAAAATTAAATTAAAAAATTAAAGCACGTTAGTATATTTCATTTAATATAATTTATTTGATCGTATACAACGTTTGATTTTTAAATATAATTAAATGTTTAGCCTATAATATATATATAATTTTGTTAACTAATTTATTTGAAGAAAATAATTAAGAATTTATTATAAAATAAACTAAAAATTTTAAAAATACTTTAAAATAGTTAATGATAATTAATTATATGAAATTAGACAATGTAGTTTTCAGCTACCAATAATGTGGAATTATTCTAAACAATTATCGATGGGATGGCTCCGAGTGGATGAGCAATCTCTATGACGATGCCAAATTTATCGTTCATGTTCATCTCAAATCCATCTTCAACCTTCCAATCGAAGAAACTAATTAACGAACCCAACATCAAATGCATCATTCTCATAGCCAATGGCAATCCAGGGCAAATCCTTCTCCCTCCGCCGAACGGAATCATCTCGAAGCTCCACCCTCTGACGTCAATTTCTGATCCCATAAACCTCTCTGGTTCGAAGGATTCAGGATTCATCCAGATCATTGGATCTCTTCCGATCGCCCATGCATTAATCAGAACCTGAGCATCTCTAGGGATTGTGAAACCTGCAATCTCCACTTCTTGTTTCACCTTACAAGGTAGTAACAATGGAGCCGCTGGATGCAATCGTAAAGCTTCCTTCACTACTGCTTGGAGATATGGCAGCCTCGAAATGTCTGCCTCCTCCACTGGTTCGTTCTTCCCCAAAACTTGCCTAATTTCCACTTGAGCTTTCGCTAATTTTTCTGGATTCCTCAATAGCTCCACCATTGCCCATTGCAATGTCGCTGCAGTTGTATCTGCGCCGGCTACGAACAATACCTAGAGGTTTTTTTTTTTTTTTTTTTCACAAATTAGAAAAAACGACGCATTAAAATGATTTTTCAATTTTAGTATATTGATTTAAGAATCGAAAAATTATTTAGGGGAGGATTCTTACGAGAATTAAATGTATTATTTGATTGTGATCGATTTTAGTGTCACTCTCTTCGTTCTTGAGAAGATAATGCACCATATCGTTGTTTGGAACAGAATCAGGAGCCAATTCCTGCTAATTCATCCTCTGTTTTATCATTGAGTCTAGAAGTTTCAAGAGACTTCCCATGTGTATCTTCATCCTCTTCCTCATCCCTTGAATGTCGAGCTTCCTCAACACGGGAAAATAATCACTCAAATTTGGGTTTCCGGCCTCTTCCAAATATCCGTGCACGTATTTCTTGAACTGTCTCGCTAATTCAGATTTCGAATCTGCTAAAACAACCGAGAAAATTGCATTCGAGAGTAGATTTAGCGTAGTCGTGAAAGCTAATATCCCTACATCCACCGCCTCGCCCTTTGACGCGCTCTTTCGAACAATCTCCACGAGCTCTTCCACTTTCCTCCGGCGAAGATTCTCGTTTGCGTCCATAATTTTTCCAACGAACAGAGTATTGTTGCATATTTTGCGATATTTCCTCCAGAGAGGAGAAACAGGAATCCATGGAAGTCCGACTTCGTTATGATCGTGAGCTGTCAGAGAATCTAAAATGGCTCTGTCGCACAAAGAGGGGTCGTTAGTGTGTAGGACCTCTTTAGCCATGGCCGAAGAAGAAACCACCACCGCCGTAACTTGTCCAAGTTTCAAAGTCATGATTGAGCCATATATCTTAGCCATGGCGGTGAGCGACCTGTGAGGCTTGTCGCCGAGATCCAAGAGATTTTCGATGACCGGCAAAGGCTTTGGTCCCGGAGGTAGCTTCGATGTACTTCTCGTCTTCCATTTAAGCCTCAAAATGAAGAAGGCGACACAAAAACAAAGAAAATAGGCCAAAAACTCCATTGCGAGCGACAACAAGGAATTTCAGATTCTATGCCAGATTTCACTCTATTGGCTCTGGTATGCTCGTGATGTTACTCTCATTTATAGTAATGATGTCTAATCTTGGTTGTGAAGGAGAACAAACCACCATGAATCTGGGCCTAAACCAAAGAAGTTTGGCTAGTTTTTTAAAAGAATGTTTTGTAAGCAAATTAAAATACTAAATGGAGACTAACATGACACGCTTAGAAATATAAATAATACTAATAATAAGACACGTCTGAATCATGTGTGAATCATGTGTTGTCGCATCCAAAAGTTTGGTCTACCTAAAAGTGGGTAGATTTACAAGTTTAGGTCCGATGATATAAATTGTTATAATGTTAAATTATTTAATATATAATAAATTAGTCCCGAACTCCATGTAACAATCAAGGTGTTCAAAAAAATAATAACCTAAGAAATACATTTTTTTTATTACTATTTAAACATTAAGAAATTATAATTTTTATTTAATTTTTTTACGAAAATAAAAATTGAAATAGGTAACGAGAGTAGAGTGGGAAAAGACTTTTCTAATTTATTTTTTTGGACTTTTATTTCTCAAAATTTTATTATGGAAGAAAGCAATTAAAATGATTTTAAATACTTTTATTTCTAATTTTGGACTTTTATAGGGTTATAATAAATAAATAAATAAATATATATATATATATATATATATATATATCAAAGCAGCTCACATCCACCTCATCCAAACACCTTGACTTGCACAGACACTAGCAGCAACAAACTCACCTTATATGGTTGATAAGATGATTATAGGTTGCTTACGAGAAAACCAAACTACTGCTCTTCCACTTATCGTAAACACATATTTTGAAGTGCTCTTATTATCTTCTATGTCTTCGACATAGTCACTATCAGTAAATCCAATTAAATCACTTAACTCTTCCCTTTCTATAAAATGCACCTTAATTTACCGTACCTTTCAAGTACCTTAAAACTCTTTTAGTTGCTGCAAAATGTTGTTGTGTTGGACATGCAATAAAACGACAAATCGAACTTACAACAAACATGAGATCTGGACGAGTAGTCTTTGTATTACCTCTGATTGGCTTTTATAGCATTAACAAACAGATCAACTTGATTGGCTTTTATAGCATTACAGACTAACAACTTTAGAAAGCATAAAATTAGCCAACTGCCCACTAATTGATTCAGTGGTTCTACCATTAGAAGTGGACATCGATCCTAGAGAAAAGGTCTAGTATGACCATTTTTAACCGTTCCATGGACAAATCTCATCTTACCTTCATAGAATGTTTAAACTCCTCATTCCTCGTGATGAAGAGTGTCTGCTCACTGGAACTGCATTTGAATCATTCCATGATGAAGTAGGATTCTATTCGACTAAACAAGGTTCCAAGTGCTTGTTTTAATCCATAGAGAGCTTTTTGGAGTTTGTACACCATCTCCTCACTTCCCTTTTCTCATTGCCTCCTGGTTGTTCAACAAAAATATCTTCTTTTAACTAATCATATAGAAAAGTTTACATCTAAACCGATAGAGTTTCCAACTTTTTTGGGTTGCAAAAGGAAGTATCATTCTCAGAGTATCCATTCTAGCCATAGGTGCGTACAGTTCCTGATAAGATAAGGAATCACTACAAGGGGAGTAAGATTCGGATTACCTTGTTGATCGAATATCTCAAAGTAAGAACATTGTTTGAGATTCGAATCACTTCACAAGCAAGATTGATCATGTCTAGCTTGAATGATTCTTGTTGATCAAATATCTTAAGACAAGAACACTTGATTGAGATTCGAATCACTCCACAAGCAAGATTGATCATGTCGAGCTTGAATGATTCTACATGCAACCTAAACTACATAGAATTGCAAAGAAACTTAGCCATTGGCTAAACAAAGAGCACAAATGCTTCTTTTACTGTATTTTAAAAGTCTACTTACAAATACAACGTACATGGCTTTAGATAGCCTCAAAATGATACTAAAGACTTAAAATACAATAATGAAATACAATAACTCTAAACTGTAACCCACCCAAAATTTATAACAATTAAACTTCATTCCTCTTCAATGTGACATGAATTGCAACATCTTTTTGACAACATTTTCTTCACATCTTCATTGAAATATATTGTATGATTGTTGTCTCTTGGTTCATATCAGTTCCGTATAATCAGTTCCATGCTCTGTGTGTAACCTTTTACCAACAGTCTGAGTCATTTAGCTTGGTCTTATAAATCCATTTCACTCCTATTTTCTTTGTTCCAGCGGATAGAACCCACCATTCCATATTTTCTTTGTTCTCTTCAGATAAGCCTTCACCGAAATATCATGAGAAATGATGTGGTAGTGTCTTTCTTCTAAACATTCGGTTTTTAAAATTTTCATTATTATTGTTAAACTTTACGAAAAATCTGGAATTATTCTAAACAATTAATGACGGGATGGCTCCGAGTGGATGAGCCATCTCTATGACGACACCAAATTTATCGTCCATGTTCATCTCAAATCCATCTTCAACCTTCCAATCGAAGAAACTAACTAACGAACCCAACATCAAATGCATCATTCTCATAGCCAATGGCAGCCCAGGGCAAATCCTTCTCCCTCCGCTGAACGGAATCATCTCGAAGCTCCGCCCTCTGACGTCAATTTCTAATCCCATAAACCTCTCCGGTTTGAAGGATTCAGGATTCATCCAAATCATTGGATCTCTTCCGATCACCCATGCATTCACCAGAACCTGAGCAATGCAATCTCCACTTCTTGTTTCGCCTTATGAGGTAGGAACAATGGAGCTGCTGGATGCAATCGTAAAGCTTCTTTCACTACTGCTTGTAGATACGGCAGCCTCGAAATGTCCGCCTCCTCCACTGGCTCGTTCTTCCCCAAAACATGCCTAATTTCCACTTGAGCTTTTGCTAATTTTTCTGGATTCCTCAATAGCTCCGCCATTGCCCATTGCATAGTCGCTGAAGTTGTATCCACGCCGGCTACGAATAATACCTAGGGTTTTTTTTTTTGCACAAATTAGAAAAACGACACATCAAAGTGCTTTTTCAATTTCATTATATTGATTTAAGAATTTGAACGATTATTTAAGGGAGGATTCTTACCAGAAGTAAAAGTAATAATTGATTTTGATCGATTTTGGCATCACTCTCTTCATTCTTTGGAACGGAATAAGGATTCAGCTCTTGTTGCTTCATCCTCTGTTTGATCATCAAATCTAGAAGTTTCAGAACACTTTCCATGTGAATCTTCATCCTCTCCCTCATCCCTTGAACGTCGAGCTTCCTCAACACAGGAAAATAATCACTCAAATTTGGCTTTCCGCCCTCTTCCATAATTTCCTGCACGTATTTCTTGAACTGTCTCGCTAATTCAGATTTCGAATATGCTAAATCAATCGAGACAATTGTATTCGAGAGTAGATTCAATGTAGTCGTGAAAGCTAATCTCCCTACATCCACCGCCTCGTCCTTCGACACGCTCTTTCGAACAATCTCCACAAGCTCTTCCACCTTCCTGAACTTTAACATGCAACAATTACGATATTAAAAACAAACATTTGTGTTGTGCTACTGCTAGCAGATATTGTCCACTTTGGCCTCATTTTAGGGCCAAAGTCATTGATGGTACACTGCCCAATGTCTAACTTTGATACCATTTGTAAAAGTCAAAGCACACTACTAGTATATATTGTCCGTTTTGACCCGTTACGTATCGCCATCAACCTAACAATTCTAAAACGTGTATGCTAGGGAGAGGTCTCCACACACTTGGAATGTTTCGTTTCCCTCTTCAATCGATGTGGGATAAGATCTCACGATCCACCCTCACACTTTCGAGGAATGTTTTGCTCTTCTCTCCAATAGACGTGAGATCTCCCATCCATAGGTCTTGGTGGATAATTTAAAAAATTATATTTTAATGGATAACTTACCTAATATTACGTCATCTTCCTTAAAAAAGAAAATAAAAAGAAAGACAACTAATTATTAAAAAGAATCCAACTATAAATAATTGCCATAAATTAAATGCCATAGTTATCCTAAGGGAATGAAAAGACAAATATAACACTTGTTTTTAGTGTTTAAAAAATGTCGTCTTCGTCCAAGGTAGGGGCTAAAAGGGAAATTGATAATTCGATATTTTACAGAAAAAAAAAAGAAGCAAAACCTCAACGTCGTCGTTTAAGCCGTATTTTGTTCTTACTCTTTTCTCAAGGCCTGCCTCCTTCAAACTACCTTCGGTTCCTTCCCGACTACAAGTCATTTCCATTTCTTTCCCGGCAATCTCACTGAGCAGTTCTTCAATCTCTGCAATACATTCTCAACTGGTTAGCAATCGTTCTTCAATTTTGTATTCTTCTTCGTTTCTTCATATTGGTAGACCTGGCATTTTGATTCGTTTTTGTTCTGTAAACTCATGGAACAGTTTCGTTCTTCGTCCTATTCTGCACGTAATTGTTCTAATCTCGGATGTTTCCAATTTTCGTGTACTTATACTTTAAGAATCTTGGCTGGAGCCTCCCAGGCTTACTGTCTTATGCGATTCAAGAACTATTTTGTAGGTTTTGGATAATTATAAGCTTGTTGAGTTTCTGGAATAATTCGTGCTAGAAATTAATAGTTTGTGTTGTGTGAATCTTCGAGTGAATATTATAGGCTAGGTGTATTTCGGTGAATGGTTTGAGATTTTATTTTTGGCGTCTGATCAATCGATTATGGGACGGAAGTTTCAAGTATATGGCCGTCACGAGAAGTGAATTTATCAGTGTTCAAGGTTTTGGTGTATTTGGCTATAATAGTCAATCACGGGAGGAGTTTAGAGTTTTTAAATCTTAGTTGTTACTTTGTTGGTCAAGAATGGATAGTCTTTATCCAAATTTTTTAATAATAATTTCTCGATCTTTATTGTACTTTACTGCTGGGACAACGTTGAACCTGCATCTCTATCTCTCTCTTGTTACCTAATTCTTTTGGCACTGACTTGAAATTCTTCTTATGCGTACATCTTTGTTGAATTCCAGGATTTCGTACTTGCAAAAAAAAAATAGGTTCCTTCTATCTGGAAACAACAGTACCACGGCTGGTGAAATATTGGTCTTTTCGAGAGCATTGAAGGGGAAGGTCATTAAAATGACATAAGATTTTCTCACAAGTTGTATATCCATGGAGAGTTCATCTGTGTTAATTGGATCCAAGGGCCTAATAAGGAAACATGAGTTTGTTAGGATCATAATTCAATGCTTATATTCATTTGGTTACCAAAAATCTGCACTAAGTTTGGAATCCGAGTCTGGAATTTCATACAAATCTAATGATTTCAAGTTGTTGGAGTCTCAAATTTTCAGTGGTAATTGGTATGGTTGCATTGACACAATAAGTGGCATCAAGGATTTAACTGATGAAGTAAGAGTTTCCGCCCTGTTTCTTGTTCTAAAACATTGTTTGCTTGAGTATTCTAACTGTGGGGATGATGCATCGGCACTAGCTATGTTGCGTAAAGAAGCTCCAATGTTCCATTTTAGTAGAGACAAAATCCACAAGCTTGCTTACAGCATATTTACTTCTAAGAACATGAATTTGGATTATTCAAATGACAGTGTCATTCATGAATTAAGGAAAAAGTTATTGCGAGATTTGGAAAAAGCTCTTCCTCCACCTACTTGTTTGCCAGACAGGAGGTTGGAGCAACTGGTTGAAACCACCGTAGTGGCACAGATTGATTCATGTATGTATCATAATTTTTCAGGTGCAGTTTCAATCTATGAGGACCACTGCTGTGGCAGGGATCAAATACCAACAGAAACAATTCAGGTGCATTTTATTATGCTCGTATTCCATGTTTATACTCTTAATTTCCATGCATCATTTTAGATGATTTTGAAAGGAAATGATTTCATATTGTAACATATGATGATGGAATATAAATATTTTCAAAATTGGATTGGGTTCTCTCAAATTCATGCAAGTAAGATATGAACACTATTTTTACAAGCAAATCCATAATGGAATATTTTCAAAATTGGATTGGGTTTCATAGAGGCATGGATTACCTACTTGGACTACTAAATATTCAATTGTTTCTGACGACGAAATATTTTTGGATTCTAGTTTTGTGTGTTGGAACTTCTGGTTTTCTGAATTAAAAGAAGCTGCTTGTCCGTTTTCTTGTTCTCATATAGTTTTTGAGTGAATGATATTTGTGCTAGTAGGATTTTTTGGTAAATGCATTTATTTCTTTGTCTAGCTCATTATCATTGCATGAATATGATTGATATTTGAAATTGAACGATCCTTAATCTCAGCCTTTTACACTCCATTCTCAGTTTGTGGGGGTGAAAGAAAGAAAAATAAAATGAGGATTGATACTCATTACCCACAATGGATTGCTCAATATCTTGTTGAATGCTTAACTTTATTTATTTTTGATAAGAGACAATTTCATTGATGATTGAAATTTACAAGAATGCTTAACTTTATTTTTTTAAAATTTTTTTCTCACTATGCAGATTTTGGCAGAACATAAGAATGAGGTTTGGTATGTTCAATTTTCTAATAATGGAGAATACTTGGCCTCTTCATCCAGTGATTGCTCAGCTATTATATGGAAGGTACCCTTAAGATCATATCTTTAATTTAATAATGTTAGAGTTGTCATTATTATTACTGTTAACTGAACGGAAACAAGGATTCATTAATAATCGAAAGGAGTCAAAAGGCACAGACTGAAGGAAGGGAGACGAGTCATCTTCCATTCTGGGACCTAAATAGAGCCTCCCCAATCAAGAGTTAATTGAAGTTATCTTTTGAATGTTTCCGATCTTATAAACTTTGCATATAGAATTGAAAGAACAGATAGATTCTAGATCATATTGCCTATTCAGCCCTTAAACATTATCCTTCTATTACCTTGTAGTTGCCCGTTAAGAATGATCAAATATTCATTTTGCCGTTGATTATGGAGTCTATGCCTACTTTATGTCACCAAATAAGTGGTTGGATGACACCTCACTTTTCCAAGGGAGGTAAAGGAGTTACTGAAAATTGTCTTAACGTACCACTCCTTTAAGAATCCAAAAGCTCTGCTACGGAACAACCTTATCATAGCTTTCATTTGGAATCTCTGGAAAAAAGGAATAAAATAGTATTCATGGAAAAGACACTGACTTTTATTGGGCTCTTCGAAATTGTTGTTTACCACCCCATTTCTTGGTGTAAATTGTCCAACATTTTTGTTTCCAATAGTCATACCTCCCTCATTGTAAATTGTAAATTGGGAAGACCTTTTGTAAGTTTCATGGATAATGTATCCCCTTTTCAAATTTCAAACATTAATGAAATTGTCACTTATTAAGAAGAAGAAAAAAAAAAAGGAAAAAAAAAAAAAAAAAAAAAAAAAAAAAAAAAAAAAAAAAAAAAAAAAAAAAAA